CAGAGTCTCGCCCTGTCACCCAGGCTGGAGTACAGTGGCGTGGCGTGGCGTGATTTCGCCTCACTGCAACTTCCGCCTCAGCCTCCGGAGTAGCCGGGATTACAGGCGCCCGCCACCATGCCCAGCTAATTTTCGTATTTTTAGTAGAGACGGAGTTTACCATGTTGGCCAGGCTGGTCTTGAACTCCTGACCTCTGGTGATACGCCCGACTTGGCCTCCCAAAGTGCTGGGATTACAGGCGTGAGCCACTGCGCCCGACCTAACTTTTCATCAATGCCATCATTCCTTCTTGTAAGGAGCCTTTCTTTCCCATATCTCCCTCCTAAAATTATAGCTTCCCTTGCCCAGGTAATTTTTAAAATAATAAATGTATCTTTTCCCCTTCTAGATTCTCATTCCTCTAACTTCCTCAAGCTAAACTCCTGGCCTCCTCCACTCTTGGACAACAGTCTAAAGATGAGGTGGGAGGATCACATGTTCGATCCAAAAGGAAGAAGGCAGCTATGTTAACAGGAGGTGGAGAGTCACAAATCTTTGTTTATACAAATTAATTTTAGACATTAATAATGCAAACGCTGAGAGCTTAGCGCCCATCAATATGCAAGTATAAATGAATTATCAAAGTTCCTCATCAAAGTAAAATTCAGGGCTCTCACTCTAGGACAAGCATAGGGAAGGGAAGGCTGAAGATTGTGAGGAGGGGGCGATCAACGCACAGAACTTGCGATCCATGCGGACATGGCGGACAAGGGACCCACCAGCCGCAGCTCCACAAGGTCTCGCCCCGGGCGCCTCTGGGGACCGAACGGTCAGCCCCGCCTCGGGCCTTCCTCCCCGGCCTCCCCACCCGGGGCCGGGGGACGCCCCAGACCCCGCAGCCTAGGCGCCAGGATGCTTAGGCTGACGTGAGCTGGCCAGTACCTGGTCATAAGGGGACTTCTCCAGCATCTGCGTGCATACATCGGCGCAGAGCTGGAACTTCCTGCGTCTAAAATAGCTCCAGGCCAGGAGCAGCGGCTCCATCTCCGAGCCCGTGGCTGCACGTAAGGCCAGCAAAGGCCCTGCGCTCCAGGAGAACGGTGGGCGTGGAGCTGGAAGCTGGCGGGCGTCAGGCTCTGCCTGGCAACCCGCGAAGGCTGGGGCCTTACTCGAGAGGTGCCCGCAGCGCGCCTGAGAACAGGAAAAAGAAAAACCACCTCGAGCAGAGCTCAGCTACAGCAGAACGTGCCTAAACTTTGGTTGAAAAAAAAAGGTCTACTTTTAAAGGCTACAGGTTTCATTAACTTTGAGAAGCAGGCACCGCGGCTAAACAAAAAGGTAGTAACTTAGACACCTGCCTTGGGGTCCTCCACCCTCCCAGGAGGCGCAGTTGCCTAGCAACCGAATGCTCGGCTCGCCCCGCAGGTCCTGAAAAGTCTGGAGAGTTGATCCTGTGTACGCTGTCTGTCCTACTTCTTCCTTTCGCTTGTTTTTGTCCCTCTCGCTTTACCTTCCGATTCTAGAAACACAAGTGAACAGCTTCTACAGTACTATCCCACCCATCAAGACCTAAAGCCCTAAATACTGAAACTCTCCACTCTATTTCTCGAGTCCTTCCTACCAATCTCAATGTCTGAATTGCAAGGGCCTTGCTTTTCTCATTTTACAGATGAGAAACTGACATAGACTCAGAGAAGAGTTATTAAACTTGCATTGAGTTAGGGAGCTGGACCTGCAATCTGGTTGACTACAGGCTGCTAATACATTTGTTAATTCGACTTTCATGGTGATTCTGGATTGTAAATCGGTGACAGTTTTACCAAACTAGATTATGTGTGCAAAAAAATAATTTTTAAAAAGAGCTTTGTGAAACACCGTCTCCTGGCACTTGCTGTTTGGCAAGTGTTTACTTGTGCAGAGTAATTTCTCCAAATATTCTACAAAATACCTGACCAGCACTCTTCAAAACTGTCAAGGTCATCATAAACAAGGAATATCTAAAAAACTGTCACAGATCAGAGGAGGTGAAGGAGACATGATAACTAAATGTTATGTGGTACCCTAAGTGAGATCCTGGACTAAAGAGATAATATTAGAGGCCGGGCATGGTGGCTCACGCCTGTAATCCAAGCACTTTGGAGGCCAAGGCAGGCGGATCACCTGAGGTCAGGAGTTCAAGACCAGCCTGACCAACATGGTGAAACCCTGTCTTTAAAAAATAAATAAATAAACTAAAATAAAATAAAAGAGAAATAATATTAGAAGATAACTACTGAAATCCAAATAAACTGTGGGGTTTAATTAATAGTAATGTACTGGTGTTGTTTCCTTAGTTGTAACAAATGTACCATCTTACATAAAAACAAATGTGCCAACATCTTATACAAGAGAGAAACTGGGTATATGGGAACTGTCTACTATGTTTGTGACTTTTCTGTAAATCTAAAACTATTCTTTAAAAATGTTTATTTAGAACATCTGACTATATGGAGTCAGGTTGAAAATCACTTACATAGTAATCTGCTTACACTGTACCAGAAAACAAAAAGACCCTGTGAAATATTGAGCCCAATTGTCAATTATCAGCATGTGTGTTCTTAAAAACTTGACACTCAGAAACCATGGGCTGCTTCATTCAGACTTTCAGGGAGATTACACTAGAATATCTGGGAAGTTCTTAATGTCCCAATTCCATCCCTAGAAATACTGAAATTTTTGAGGTAGTACTGGGGCATCAGTTTTTTTCTTTATCCCAGGTGATTCTGATGGGTAGCCAGGATTAATCACCCATTATGGTGAGCTCTAGTCTTGTATCTATTGAGATTATTGCCAACTTCCTACAGAGAAAAACATTTTTGTAAGTGGGGAAATAAACATGCCAATAAACATATAAATAAATGTGGATCAAATGATGCATTAAAATATTTTACTAGCATATGACGTATGTTAACTTCATTGAGAAGGCTAATTTTTTCTCTCACAACAGTCAAATAAATGAAAATTGTAGGAGCATATTTAGCAAATTGCAGGACGTTAAAACAAGTCCAAATGTAGCATGAAATGTGTCTTTAAAAGGATATAAAATATGTCATTTTAATATCATGTAAATATGTTTATGGTTCATTGATTTTATGAATTTATAAACAGATTTACATTTTTAATAATATCTAACTGATAAAGCAGAAATCTTTTTTTTAAAAAAAGATATGCTAGTAATAGGAAGAATAGAGACTATAACATTTCCTGGTGAAGGGCGTAGATAAGAGTTACTAGGACAATTTTCCTTCTAGAGAAAGTGAAGCACAGAGAAACAAACCCTTTAAAAGGGTCAGTTTCACAATCGATGCTAGATCTCAGTTCATAGATCCTTATCTTTTACTCTCTAGCAACTAGATTTTCTTTAGGTTAATCAGTTTTAAATCAAATACCTAAGGTAATTTAACTTTAAATGCTAAAGTTTAAATTTTCTTAAATGTTAAATTGGAATTATTCTGCCCATTTAACATAACCCAAAAGAAAAACAAAAGGTATAAAATGAGATATTCTCTTGGTCAACAAGTATTTGCCCAGGTTCTGTGCTCAGTGATTAGAATGCAGAGATGAATAAGTCAAATCTCCTGGCCCAAAGTACTTATACACAAAGATTAATTAGCACGAAGAGAATGGACTTAAGGTTAGACCTAGCAGCTGTGTTTTCTCAGGCAAATTAGGAATCAGTTTAGGATGGTGATTAAGAAGTAGGCTCTGAGGCTGGGCATGGTGGCTCAGGCCTATAATCTCAGCACTTCGGGAGGTCAAAGGCAAGGAGGATCACTTGAACCTTGAGCCCAGTAAGTCAAGGCTGCAGTGAGCCATGATCATGCCATTGCACTCCAGCCTGGCAGCAAAGCAAGACCCTGTCACTAAAAAAAAAAAAAAAGAAAAAAAAAAGAAAAAAAATGGGCTCTGGAGCCAGATGTCTTATATTTGAAACTTGACCTTTCCATGCCCTTAATTGTGGGGACTTTGTGGAAGTGACTTACTGGCATTGTGCCTCAGATTTTTCATTCATAATGTAACATGCATTTGCTGTATTATTTGAGAATTTTCTATTCTTCCCTAAAGAACAGGAAAACAAATGGGATAGATGAAACTTATCAGTAAGTTTATGTTACGTCGACTCATATGTTAAATACAGATAATAAGTACGTCATTAACCCATGAAACATGTTAAACATGGAATAGACATTTACTTCTTAAACATACATTAAAAGGACAAAACAGGAGAGCTACTTGTAGATAGAGACAGAAAGAAAAATAAACCTTAAATATTCATAAAGCATGGATCAGCCTTGTCTCCCTCAAACTGACCACCCATTGGTATCATCCATTCTAACCAACTTGTTTCGTGCTTAAAATGTATACTACTCATCAGGTCATCGCTGAGCTGTAGGTGTAGCCACATATACTTACCTCTTTTTATTATTTTTATTTATTGGGGACAGGATCTTTCTGTGTCGCCCAGGCTGGAGTACAGTGGCACGATCATGGCTCATTTCATGCTCACTGCAGCCTCAACCTCCAGGGCTCAAATAATCCTCCCAGGTAGCTGGGAGTACAGGACGCATTATCGTGCCCGACTAATTTCTTTTTTTAAGTATTTGTAGAGACGTGGTCTCACCATGTTGCTCAGGCTGTTCTTGAACTCCTGGGGCTCAAGCAATCTGCCTGCTTCAATATTCCAAAGTATTGGAATTACAGGTGTGAGCCACAGCACCCGGCAACCTCTATCTTTTTGATAGAGCAAGCATAGATTGGCACCATGAACCTTCCATCTCTGAATGTTCTTGCCTACACTCTGGTTCTTGTAACCATGCCATCTTTGGAGAAGGCAGATGAGGCAGAGAGAGAGGAAGAACATATGAACATTGAGTGACCCACAGTAGTGTGGTCCTTTCACCTGCCTGATTTAATGTATTCATCCACCCAATCTCTTTCTCCTTTCTTCCCACTTTTTTCTAAAAAAAAAAAAAAAAATCAGTCTCCATAGTGACTGTCAAAAATTGCCAATGCTGACTATCTTGCAAGTTGTCATGGCAGGCTACTGGAAAAGTTTTCAATTAGCAATAACTGCACCTAGGATAAACCTGATTGGCTACCATATTGTCACTGCACAAAGCTCAGACTGTATGTTTTAAATTGGTTTAACAAACTAACTGATTTGACCATCTTAATCTGGCCTATGAGCCTTTCAGTTCCAGGGCCTCGGGAACAGTCTGCCTGGTTGTGTACTTGGAGGCCACCACAGCATTTTCCACGCTACATTCAAAATGAAGATGAGGATGATATTGAGAGCGGATATTTTATGGGATGATTGTGGAGATCACATCAATTTAATTCAAGTAAGGCACAATTACATTGTCTTTCAAAGAACACAGAAACACATTGGGTGGGAATCAGTAATGTGTGCAACCAGGTAGCTCCTCTATTTCAGTTAGGCAACATTTATTACATGCTAGACATAGAACAGTTTGAGGAATTACCAAAGAGATGGGAGGTTGTTCTCATTTTCCCAGTTCCTTGAGGAAGTTCTTTGAGGAATTTTCTCGAGGAATTCTTTAAGGATGTTCTTGATATATATCTATTGATACTGATATTTATGCCAAAAATTGTTTTAAATACTATGAGATGCCAGAGAAATGGGGTGAAATGTGCATACAAACAAGTAAGTTTAATAAAGGATGATGGGAGTCATGATGGAAACCTGTGAGAAAACGCATCTATGAACATAGGCACAGGACTGAGTGATTCTACCTGTGTGTGGGGTTTGTAAATGGCTCTGTGGTCAGCCTCTGAGGAAAAGCTTCCCAGCAGCACACAATCCTGCGGGCAGAAAAGCAGAGGTGGAAAAAAAGACAGAAAGTTTTGCTGAAGCCAGATCATTAAGAATATGGAACACCACGCAGGGAAGTTTGGATTTTAGCACATATTAAATGAAAAGCCACCAGAGAAGTTTTACCAGTGAAACAAAACAGCTCGATTGCCTAAAAGCGAAGACAGGGAGATCAGTTAGGATGCTATTCCAGTAGTCAAGCTGTGAGTTACTGGGAGTAATGGGAATAGACAGAAGAGGACAAAATATGTTCAAGAAATAGAATCAACAGGACTTGGACACTGACTGAATATGGGGAGGACATTTGGCTAAGGAAAGAAAAGAAGCCAGAATAACTCCCAGCTCTCTAGATTGTCCATGTGTGGATAGGGGAGCCAGTCACCAAGATGAGAATGAAGGAGACAGAACAGGTTGGGAAAAAAGAGAGAGAGAGAGAGAAAGAGAGATTAAAATCAGTTTGGGACATAATGATTTTAAGTGTCTGGGACAGCCAGATGGAGATATTCCGTTAGTGGCTAGAGATAGAAGCCAGTCGGAAAAAATGGAGAGAGGTCAGGGATGGAGATTAAATTTGAGACTCATATTATTATACATCTGCTCATGGAAAGCAATGAAGAGGGTGAGATCATCCCACGGAGAATTTGTAGAATGAGAAGAGAGCCAAGACAGAACCCTGTAGATTCTCAACATTAAGAGGCAGGTAATGAAAAGAGTAAAAATAAAACATACTGAGAAAGAGTGGTCAGAGATATAAGAGGAAAACCAGGTGGACATGGCATCATGAAGCTCAAGTACACATAGAATTTCAAAACAAAGAGGCAGTTCAACCGTCTTCAATTCTAAGAATTCATGGAAACCAAAAGCTTTAAAAAAATTTCACTGATTGGGCCTTTAGGTATCTATTTGCAACATTTGTCAGAGTCGTTTCAGGGAGCCAAGAGTGAATAGGAACAGAAACCTGAGTGCAATAGGCTGAGGCAGAAACAGACCTAAAGAAAGAAACATGCAAATGCAGTGTATTCTTTCAAGGGACAATTACTCATGCAAATGATTTTAAAATATTGCAAAACCACATGCATATGTTTGAATTCACAGAAACTTTCCACTTTTTGGACCTTTTACCATGTAATAGATGCTCTCTGTAAGACTTATCAAGTTCTCTGTCAGTTACATAAACCACTGATTCTTGGGTAGAGATTATTCCCTAAAGCGAATGTGGTCTGAAGTTATTCATTTACCATATTTTTGCTCAGAAGGAGTGACACTTTTATACTCTTGGGCTCTGTATGAAAAAGTGAACTCATTATTACATGAAAGTCATCAGAATCAAAATGGTGTCATTTGTGTTCAAAATAAATGAACGAAATCCTGACAAATAGAACTGAGGGCGGCTATGAAGAGAGGATTCTTATGCATGAATGCTTCGTAACAAAAACCGTCACAAAAGACTACAAAAAGCGCAACACTGCACAAAGATCATGACAACCTTCCACAAAAAATACTTCTGTGAAGACATCGGCCAGCCAACCTTGACTGATGCCACCCTTGTTTCAGATCCTTGTTATGGATCTTTTGAAGGATAATCACTTCAAAAGATCTGTAATCCTCTTTATTTTTCATTTAAAAAGCTTTATCATCCTTTACCTCCCTGAATATGCATATAGAATACTATGGCACATATATTCCATTGCAATGCCCCATTCCTGAATAAATATTATTTTCTTTTAGAGAACATCTAAAAGAGGTTGGCAATTAGCACTCACTTGTGATTTAAAAAGCCATCGAATGGCCAGGTGCAGTGGTAGGTGCCTGTAGTCCCAGCTATTCAGGAGGCCGAAGTGGGAGGATTGCTTAAGCCCAGGAGTTTGAGGCCAGTCTCAGCAACGTAGTAAGACTCTGTCTCCAAAACAAAAATAATAAATAATACATTAAAATTTAAAAATAAAAACAAAATTTTTAAACCATAGACTGAAAAATTCTCAGAAATATATAGCAAAATGTTTTTTGATATTACATGAAATAGTAATAAATAATATAAAAATGGCTACTTTTATTTATTTATTTATTTTAATTTTTATTCATTTATTTTGAGATGGAGTCTTACTCTGTTACCCAGTTTGGAGTACAATGGTGTAATCTCAGCTCACTGCAACCTCTGCCTCCTGGTAAAAGCAATTCTCCTGCCTCAGCCTCCCAAGTAGCTGGGATTACAGTCTCCCGCCACCATGCTCGGTTAATTTTTGTATTTTTAGTAAAGACGTAGTTTTACCACGTTGGCCAGGCTGGTCTTGAACTACTGACCTCAGGTGATCCACTTGCCTCTGCCTCCCAAAGTGCTGGGATTGCAGGCAGAAGCCACCACGTCCGGCCCATTTATTTAGCTCTTACCCTGGGTAGGTTAGACACAATACTAGGTTCCACACGTGCTCTTAAATCTTCCTATTAAAGCTGGGTATTATTACTATCCCCATTTTACAGATGAAAGGATAGCCACTTAGGTTTAGTTACTTGCAAAAAGTCCTCCAGCTAGTAAGTAGCACAATCAGAATTTGAACTCATGTTTAGTCAGAATCCTGCACCCTCAACCAAATGTACACTTCTAACCACACTTCACTTCTCCCTACTCCTTCTAAACTTTATATAGTGTTCTTCCACATGCTGTCCAACATCTGTAGTGTCCTTATCTCCTCCCCACATGCCTTTTTTTTTTTTTTTCTCATTGGTATAGATAGATTCAGGCCAAATTTCCACTCTGCTGTGATCTTTACGGGTGCTCCAAGGGCCTGTCTGCAAGTTGCCATTAATACTCTTATTACACAATTAGGCTGGGAGCTGTGGCTCATGTCTTTGGGTGTAATCATAGCACTCTGGGAGTCTGAGGCAGGCAGATCACTTGAGCTCAGGTGTTCGAGACCAACCTGGCCAATACGGCAAAACCCCATCTCTACAAAAAATATAAAAATTAGCCAGGTGTGGTGGCACATGCCTGTAGTCCTAGCTACTTGGGAGGCTGAGGCAGGAGCATCTCTTGAACCAGGGAGACAGAGACTGCAGTGAGCCAAGATCACACCGCTGCATTCCAGCCTGGGCAACAGAGCAAGACTCCATCTCAAAAATAAAAATAAATATAAAAAAATAAAACTTATTGTGTTACATTGTAATATCTGATTCCCTAAGTAGACTTAAATGTGTTCATCTAGGACATGGCACATGATGATAACCATTTTACAGACATTTGTTGAATAGTTGAATGAAGTTCAATACATACTATACTATTATACCAAATGCAAAATTGACAGTTATATTTTAAATAAATAATGTAATGTTTGAATATGTACTTTGGCATCTATTTAAATGCTTAGAAAACCAATTTTAACCATTTAAAAACATGGTGCTGTATAACATTTTTTATTAAAATGCCAAAGCCTTTGAAGATTAGTCTTTGTAAGTGTAGTTAACCTAAAAGAATTTGAGAATTCTTTTTCTTTTTTTTAAACCAGGTCTCACTCTATTGCCCAGGCTGGAGTGCAATGGCACAATCTCTGCTCACTGCCACCTGTGCCTCCCAGGCTCAAGTGATCCTCCCACCTCAACCTCCCAAATAGCTGGGACTACAGGCATGGGCCACCATGCCTGGCTAATTTTTGTAGAGATGAGGTTTTGCCATGTTGCCAAGGCTAGTCTCAAACTTCTGGGCTCAGGTGACCTACCCACCGTGACCTCCAAAAGTGCTGAGATTACAGGCATGATCCACCACGCCCAACCAGATAGTTCTCTTTGTAGAAAATTTTATCTAGGAAATCTCTTGTTTTTAAAAATATTTATTTTGTATTCTGTAATTTATTGTATACTTTGATTCAGTAATTCAGAATGCTACCTTCATCCTCTACTAATTCTTGTATATACTGAATCCTATTTATGCCTTGTCTCTTCAGTGCCATTGGTATGAAGTTAATATTTATGACCATTAGATGTCATAAATATTATGTTTTAATTTCTGTAGCTTTGTTTTCAAATCTTCACATTTTTTTCACGTCTTAATCCCATGTGAGCCTTTATTCATAGAAAAACTGTTTTATGCCATAGTCACAATCCAATATTACTGGCATTTGAAATACTTGAACAAAATTTTTTCTTTATCTGGTGAGAAATACAAAATTAATAATACTCTGCTACTACTACAGTAACCTCCAAATCAAAAAAGCACTATAAAACTAGCAACCTCCCTAAAAATAGATAAAATGCTTCTCAATTTTTGTTCATGATATGCATTACATTAATCTCAAAT